TAAATGTTACACGAAACCATTAAGACATACATGAACCTACTGATGATGTTACACGAAACCATTAAGACATCCATCAACCCGCTGATATGTTACACGAAACCATTAAGACATTCATCAACCTCCTGATGATGTTACACGAAACTATTAAAACACTCATCAACCTTCTGATGATGTTACACGAAACCATTAAGACATTCACCAACCTGCTGATATGTTACACGAAACCTTTTAGACACTCATCAATCTGCTGATGATGTTACACGAAACCATGAAGAAACTCACCAACCTGCTGATGATGCTACACGAAGCCATTAAGACATTCATCAGCCTGCTGATATGTTACACGAAACCATTAAGACACTCATCAACCTGCTGATGATGTAACACGAAACCATTAAGACATTCATCAACCTGCTGATGATGCTACACGAAACCATTAAGACATTCATCAGCCTGCAGATTATGTTACATGAAACCATTAAGACATTCATCAACCTGCTGATAAATTACACGAAACATTAATACACTCATCAACCTGCTGATATGTTACACGAAACCATTAAGACATTCATCAACCTGCTGATGATGTTACAGGAAACCATTAAGACACTCATCAACCTGCTGATATGTTACACGAAACCATTAAGACATTCATCAACCTGCTGATGATGTTACTCGAAACCATTAAGACATTCATCAACGTGCTGATATGTTCCACGAAAACATTAAGACCTTCATGAACCTGTTGATGTTACACGAAACCATTAAGACATTCATCAACGTGCTGATATGTTACACGAAACCATTAAGACATTCATCAACCTGCTGATGATGTTACACGAAACCATTAGGACACTCATCAACCTGCTGATATGTTACACGAAACCATTAAGACATTCATCAACCTGCTGATGATGTTATACGAAACCATTAAGACATACATGAACGTACTGATGATGTTACACGAAACCATTAAGACATTCATCAACCTGCTGATATTTTACACGAAAGCATTAAGACATACATGAACCTACTGATGATGTTACACAAAACCATTAAGACATTAATCAACCTGCTGATGATGCTACATGAAACCATTAAGACATTCATCAACCTGCTGATGATGTTGCACGAAACCATTACAACATTCATCAACGTATTGATGATACACGAAACCATTTAGACATTCATCAACCTGCTGATGATGTTACACGAAACCATTAAGACACTCATCAACCTGCTGATGATGTAACATGAAACCATTAAGACACTCATCAACCTGCTGATATGTTACACGAAACCATTAAGACATCCAGAAATCTCCTGATATGTTACACGAAACCATTAAGACACTCATCAACCTGCTGATATGTTACACGAAACCATTGAGACATTCACTAACCTGCTGATGATGTTACACGAAACCATTAAGACATACATGAACCCTACTGATGATGTTACACGAAACCATTAAGACATTCATCAACCTGCTGATATGTGACACGAAACCATTAAGACATTCATCAACCTGCTGATGATGCAACATGAAACCATTAAGACATTCATCAACTTGCTGATGATGTTGCACGAAACCATTACGACATTCATCAACGTGTTGACTATGTTACACGCAACCATTAAGACACTCATCAACCTGCTGATATGTTACACAAAACCATTAAGACATTCATCAACCTGCTGATATTGTTACACGAAACTATTAAGACATTCATCAACCTGCTGATATGTTACACGAAACCATTAAGACAATCATCAATCTGCAGATGATGATACACGAAACCATTATGACATCAATCAACCTGCTGATATGTTACACGAAACCATGTAGACACTCATCAACGTTCTGATGATGTTACACAAAACCATTAAGACACTCAGCAATCTTCTTCTGATGTTACACGAAACCATTAAGACATACATGAACGTACTGATGATGTTACACGAAACCATTAAGACACTCATCAACCTGCTGATATGTTACACGAAACCATTAAGACATCCAGAAATCTCCTGATATGTTACACGAAACCATTAAGACACTCATCAACCTGCAGATGATGTTACACGAAACCATTAAGACATTCATCAACCTGCTGATGTTGTACACGAAACCATAAAGACATTCATCAACCTGCTGATGATGTTACAGGAAACCATTAAGACATTCATCAACCTGCTGATGATGTTACACGAAACCATTAAGACATTCATCAACCTGCTGATGATGTTACAGGAAACCATTCAGACATTCATCAACCTGCTGATGATGTTACACGAAACCATTAAGACATTCATCAACCTGCTGATGATGTTACAGGAAACCATTCAGACATTCATCAACCTGCTGCTATTGTTACACGAAACCATTAAGACATTCATCAACCTGCTGATGATGTTACAGGAAACCATTACGACATTCATCAACCTACTGATGATGTTACACGAAACCATTAAGACATTCATCAACCTGCTGATGATGTTACAGGAAACCATTTAGACATTGATCAACCTGCTGATGATGTTACTCGAAACCATTAAGACACTCATCAACCTGCTGATGATGTTACAGGAAACCATTCAGACATTCATCAACCTGCTGATATGTTACACGAAACCATTAAGACACTCATCAACCTGCTGATGATGTTACACGAAACCATTCAGATACTCATCAACCTATGAAGACACCATCCTGATATTCATCATCCTGCCGATGACATAGCATGACAAAACTATCACCATCTAAATTAAAACCTGTCAAAACGATAACGATGATTGAAACTGGAATATTATTTAGAAACTTATTTCTTTTATAGTTTGAATTCAGGAATTATGTGAGAGATGATGCAACATATAACAAATGACTAACTGCTCACAACAGTTCCAGCGCTGCTATCCCAAGGGGACCACGGCGCCAATGACTGCTAAATTATGCATGCTTTTCTATTTCATGGACTTGAAAGTCCTTCATATACCCACACATTTATCCATGAGGCACTTTCAACACTTGGGTCTATTTCAGGATAAGAAAACAATCAGACAATATGTTCAAATAACCGTTATCATTATATTATTGATTGACTTAAGATTCTTCATTTCAAAGGATTATAGTTCAGAATCTGTGATACCAAGAGTTCCTATTTCTTTTGTCTGTCAGTTACCCATTCAACATATTCAACCCATTCAACCAATACGTTCACAATTTATCGAATTAGGGATTCCACAAGGAACAAAGTCTGACATATATCTAAAATAAATCGAAATTCTAATATCATAATATTTAATTCTCGAACGATACCTACTTTGAAACGAGAAACCTAATTTTGCCATGGCAGAAACACCTGAGGATGTATGAGGATGCAGCTCTTGGAATATAATACCAAGCACAGCCTGCATTCGATAGGCCATTGTCATTTTCGCATGAACCATCAAAGGGGATATATATCATCCAGACGAAGACAATTCTAAACTCGGTGTCATAGTAAACCAATTAATTTCCGAGAAGTCAGAAATATACAACCACAGCTGATAGACGTATGAACAGTATTTGGTATGACATTTATTTATGGCGTCATAAGAAGGTAGACGAAGCCTGCCGTATGATTGAGACACTGTGCGATTGTAAAAAGCCATTGTTGAGGTATAATGAACATATGGTTATGGCACAGATAGACTTATAATGAATCTTTGACAGTCTTACGCTATATTTGATGTGCATTGGATATCATGCAGACATGAGGATAATTGAAACTGGGAATATTTCGGATACTTAATTTCTGGTTTTGTGTTTGCCCATGGTGATAGGTCTGTGACAAGGGTGCCCACTCTCCTCTATGGTTTCTCTGTTCGCGAGGCATAAAAGTTGATTAGGTAGGTTTATGGTTCTAGAACTGGTTGTTTGGACATATAGTGGGTGATAAATCCATGGTAACAATGACTAGTGTCTACAAGACGTCAACAGAAACCGTATTCGTAAGATATTACATCTTGTTTTAGAAATAATGGATTGTTATTTTCAAGCTGAAATTATATGCGCTGTTCTCAATTTTAATTTTTGGTAATTCTATATTGGAATGGAAGATATTTGATTCGTAAAACGCATGAAAACATGTGTATTTGCTAACAAAATTCAAAAGCAGAATAAAAAATGATAACCTTTGAAACCAAATTGACACAAACGTATGCATTTATTGTGAGGGTCTAAAGTCGAATAAATACACACAAATCGACATAATTTCTGTCACCAAAAGTTTTCTTTTGCCACAGTTGGGAAATACCAGCTCTTCTGACTTGTGTTGGTGGTTGGATGGTCGGGTTTGGGGGTTTGGGAATGGTGTGGAGGGTTGAAGAGTCAGGCTGCAAGAAATACCTGAAAGACTTGCCCCGATTATCACCCTTGGTTTTTGTGCATCCGTGCCTGTGGATTTCACCAAAATATATGACTACGGGATTTCCTCCCACAATAAGCTGACACACTGTGATCTAACTGAAATACTGCGCAGAGCGGCGTTAATACCAGATCAACTCCCTCATAACACTTGAGATCAAGATTGATAATGTGAACCATTTTTGCACATATGGTCATATATTACACGTAACGGTTGTATTCGCAACCAATTGTATTTTTAATACTTAGTTTCTTCCACCCGCATGCTGCCTCTGAAGCCGATGATGGACATGAGAAACACATCAAATACGGATGACCTTCTCCTCGAGGCGTGAATACGACTATAGAATGCCAAAGAACATGGTACTGACGTCAATCTTTGACGGTCCTTCAACTCAGCTAATGTGGAATGATCAAATTCCTTTTTGCATCTGTGCGGAAGGAAATATGCAGCTATCTATCAGACATGTTTCTGTTTCCGTGTAAGATTCAATTTACAGATACAACGAACCTCTTTTTTTCAACACAGTGAAGGAATTCTGACTGAATTGGGGTTGTTTGAAAGTGTGTCGAAATGAAACATAAAACAAAGTGAGTATTTCAGGATTTTTATAAAGATGTCATTGATACACATTTAATCTGTGAGATATGGTGACAGCTCGTTAACTTGAGTGCATTGAAATAAAAAATACTCTTTAAAAAAAGAAACGCAAAAGTAGTAAAATGGCTACGTTGTTGTCGACATACATACAAAATAATACCAAAAACGAATTGATCATTTCTGCATGGATTGAAATTGATTTGTGTAGAAGTAATGATGTACTGCAGAAATCTGGTGAAAAGAAGGAAAAACAACAGAAACTCCGACAGTTGGCACAAACACTGAGAGCTGAGATGGTAAACATTCCCCAGGCCACAATTCGGGATCTGACTGCTTCCATGGGACGATGCTGCTGGTTAGTTTTGGACTCTAATGATGGCCATACAAGACGTTGAGAACAGATGTTCTTCACCTTAAAAATCTACTGTTCAGTGTGTCCCATATGTGTCCCACAATGATGTGTGCCAATTGTGAACAATCGATTACCATCTGTTGATTACTTATAATATGATATATTAAATCTACACCTAAAATCACTTGTGCGTTTCTTTTTTCAGAGTATATATATTATTATCACTATCATTATCATGATTCGATAACAAAATAACTTATTTAAATCAATAATAAAAAAAACCCAACTAAGTAATCAAGCTTACAAAGAGTGACAATGGATAATTCGTTTAAAGGAGGTTCATTTTTCTACAATGAACCCTGCTAATTTGGACTCCAAGCATTCATAACTGTCCATAAGAAATTAATGCGTCCATTCTACGATAATCCGTAAATGTATGAATCCGGATAATATATCTGGCAACGTTACCGTCAGAAATAACGGAGTTCCTGCGAACAAATGTCGAGATGAGGAAGCACATCGTCACAGCCATATATCGACTCAACCGACTCCGTGTCATGTGCAGTAATAATAAATGGATAAATTGTCGGGACTACGTGTATCTAGCAACGTCGTTATACCGGATCCTGTTAATTCGGACAGGCCACCGATCGCTTCACTGTTCGAAAGCTTACATGTATACAACATGACGTTACTCCTTTCCTACAAATGGGTTTTCATCCGAAAATTGTTAATCGGGACGATTTATACGGTATCGGCCGCATTAACGGATTTTTTTCTGAGTGTCAACTGATATGAGCTTGAGTTACTGCGCTTCCACTGAAAATATATCTAGTTGTCATTTGTTCATTCTTGATGTTTCAGGGTATAATATATCCATTCTATGACGATAAATACCCCTGGCCCGTTTGCAACTACAACTTCGTGTTTAGTCTGATTCAGGAACCAAACTGGAACCAAACAGGAACAAACAGGAACAAAACAGAAATAAATCAATGGTCGATACAAACCACGAATGGATTTAATTGTCACAAGCAACTCTGGAGGGAGTTCTTTTCCGTCGCACGACAAGCATCCCCGGTCTTCATTGACACAGATATCCACACATGCTGGACCTGAAACAAAAATAAATACCACCTCAAAATTAAACAGCCAAGAGTGAGTGAGTTGGCTTTAACGCCGCTTTGATCACTATACCAGTTATACCACGTGTCAGCTTGGCGTGGGAGGAAAGCGCAAAGTGATGCAGGTGTCACACGTTTACCAATTTGGTGAAACTCACGAGCACGGGTATGGTGCTGACAAACCAAGAAACTTAATGGGTGAACCGGGATTCGAACCAACGATCATAGGCCACCCCTGCCCCCCAATACCCCAGTAATAATAGGCTATTTATATTGCGCATATTTCCACACCACTCTGGGGCATGCTCAAAGGGCTATTATTACACCGATCTCTGGATCAATTTGCACTCAAGAACCATTCTCAACACCCTGGGGAGTATACAACCCAAGCTGCCTGTTAGACGCTAGAAGGTTAACAACCATGTACGATGTATACTAAGGGATCTTTCACATATTGGAAAGAAAATTATCAGATTGTTGACAACTGGCCTTTTTTTTTTGCCTTTTCTTTACTCTCGACATGATCGAGAGAGAAAAAATCGCTAAAATGAGCCCCAAATAATCAATCTAAATGGATTTACGTAAGTAAGTAAGTAAGGCCTGACACAACTTCAAACTTCCCTCTAAATGCAAGCACAAATCAAAACTCTGTTGGTTCGTTTTAAGCTATTTTCAGGAAATGTCATATACATTGCCCTCAATTTAAATATAAAGGTTTCAATTTTATTTCTACAGCAAATGAATCCGAACTAATGTATATTTGGAAGAAAAGGTGTGAAGTTGAACAACGAAATGACGCATTGTCAACTATTTTATCTTGAAGTGCATATATCATGAAAAATAATAATCACAACAACTGCATGCATCTGCAGTAGATCTTTGCATAATGTATGCCAGCAGTCAGTCCAGGTAACAAAACACTCAGCCATGTGTATAGTGTAATGTATCACGCCACAAGTAGCATGGATGCACAGAGTCTATGACATGTCGCTTCATCGTTGTCGTGCTATTTCAAGACTGCAACAGGATATTTTGATTTGGAGAAAGTAAACTAAACTATGTAGGAGTTCACTTGTACTTCTTCCTCAGAAATCACCTATTCATCTTCAGAGAAACATTAACATTCCATGATAATTCGAAAACTATTGTCACCGTCATTTCGGCAAGTTATGATAAGGATACCACAAAAACGAGCGAAGTGAGTACGATCGATGCTTTATCTTTTTATACATAGATCAGAGAATATGTTAAACACAGAAAAGTCTCACAACAAAATAAATGAAAGTTCCGCAATTAAAGCACAATAAAAGAAAAATCATGTTTTGCGCATCGTCTTCTCACAGAATGGTGAACTCAATAGTGATATAAATTACCTTTGTCACAGAACCGTTGTTAAAAGAAAGAGGAGTATCTTTTAATTGTTTAACGAAGGAAAGTACATAAATGGTCATTGTTTAATTGTGGATAGGAGGATGTCTAAGGGTTTAAAAGGTGAAGAATAGGTTGCTTTGCCGAGACCGTTTGCAGCCGGCCATGACCGTGAATAGAAGCTTGCTGGTCAGGGTTGTTGTGCGATCAAACGTGTCATTTTGGAGGAAATCACCTTCAACAAGACCATATATGGAACCTCTACATCCGCCTTAGCTGTATTTTTGTTTCAGCCTTTGAAACTAATAGACATTACCAAGATGCAAATAATAGACATAACTAAGATGCAAATAAACCTTATTCACGTGCCGCTTTCGCTGTTTGAATGGGATATTTGCTATAACGGTGTTACGATCTATCCAATTCTGCAAAGGTGTATATTCCCACTTTATTATTTAGCAAATGGTGGGTTCGAATCCCAGAATCACCTTGACTATGACGTTAGGTGTGTCACCACCTTACCTGCGTTCGCTTGTTTTAACAGTGGTCAATGTCTAAGCTGAAAGATTTGCATCGCTTGGGCTTGCCCCACGTCACGCTGATACGCCGTGATAGAACTAAAATATTGTCAAAAGCGGAACTCAATCACTAATTTTCGAAATTCCCTGCACAACTGAAGATAAAATACATAGCTGTATCCTTTAGAAACATACATGGTACTTTCATTGTAACCGAAGGCTATAATATGCATACACTAGCACCTCGGTAATCCAAACTACCATGTTATTCCGGAATCCCTGCTTTCAGGACGCTCTGTTAGAATATATACTGAACCGCAAAAGAAACGTCACCATGGATAGATATATGAGAAACCTTATTTGTCCAAACACTGTAAACACACTTTGAGACATATTAAAAAGATGAAACTTGGCAAAACTGATCATCAAGGTTGAAATTAAAGTGTAAAATGTTCCTAAAGTGAAACACAACACTAGTCTCTGAGAAAATGACATCACAAGTCAGTATCTCGTGTGTCTGCCATGTGCATTGATGACTGCCGTGCAACGTCGATACATGGAATGGATGAGGCGGTTGATGAAGGCTACAGGCACTTGAGCCCACACTCTGAGGAACGCCTGACGCAGTTCAGCTGCAGTTGTCGGTCTTGGTCGGACGTCATTCAGCCGTCTTTGAATCTCGTCCCACATGTGCTAATTGGGATTTAAATCGGAACTGAGGGCAGACCACTGCATGGTTCTGATACCATTCTGCTGGAGGAAGTCTCTCGTTGCTCTCGTAGTGTGGGCACGGGCGTTACGATGCTGATACTCGTGGTTGCGGCGACGTGCCAAATGAGGTATGGCGTGTGGTCTCAAGACTTGATCAATGTACCGAGCTGTTGTGACACCATTGCCTCTCTCTGGACTGATGTTCTGGAAGACCACAGGGCCGACCCTCTGTGCAAGACCAATTCCACCCCACACAATGATGCTCGGACCACCCCACGAGTCTCTCTCAACAACACAAGCGTCCGAATAACGTTCTCCATGCTGGTGCTGTGTTGCCCACTGAAGACGGTCCAGGCGATGACGTGGTGTCAGAATGGGTCCTCGGTGTGGCCTGTGACAGTGGATGTGTCTGCTCGTCAATCGTCGACGCACGGTGTCCGCACGTATGTGTCGCTGGTGTGTCCCCATGGTCTGTCGAGCAGTGTCCGCAGCAGTAACAAAGAGATCTTGAAGATGCTGTCGCACAATCTGACGATCCTGACGTCGGGTGGTGACCCTTGGTCTTCCACTACGTGGTCGGCCATCTGTAGTGTTGGTGATCTGGTACTGTTGCTGGAGCCTGTATATGGTCTTTACGTGGACTTGAAATGCATTGGCTACTTGCCGGGCGGTTTGTCCAGCTTGCAATCATCCAAGGGCTTGGTGTCGCTGATTTCTTGTCAATCTTGGCGTGCGGTATCAATTCAATAACGAATGAATGTTATCCGATCTTGGTGGATTTTTATAGGGCAAGAAATGGGGGAACGCATGTGCTTTTCAATTTGCACGGAACTCACGTGCATCGGGTTACCATGACCGTTGCCGTGATGCATTTGGGCGATGGGTTATATTGTCATCTGCATTGGGTTTTTTTATCATCAAATGTCATTTTTCGGACAAGGTAATGTTAAATTTTAGAAACTTTAACAAAAATTACCCACATATTTAAATGACAACTTTTCATGCAATGTTACTTGGGGTGACGTTTCTTTTGCGGTTCGGTATATTTTTATATATAGTACATTAAAGGATTCGTTAATCCAGACTGAATGTATTTTATTGATACTGGTGCCTTCCGGATTGACGTTGTGCGCACAACCACATGAACTGCTCAAATGCAAAGACTGTTAAACGAAATGTGAGTAAGTAAGTTGTAGTATTGATATGTATATTACTTGGCGAGAGAGGCGGTGAATGTGCTTCACACCTTGCACCCATTTGGGTAACACGAACGCGGACAACCGGCGCGAGCCCCCGCAGAAACGCCTTGGCTACCCCGCAACCCTATCGAAAACGCCATGTAACGCATCTGGCATGTCTCGTCTGTTGTGTCTATGTTTCTAAGTTCATCATGTAATGTGCCCCCAAGGGCCTTATAATGAAAGTTCTGAATCACGCAATTAATGGTTCAAGCAAGCAACATATTGATAAAACCGATCCCTATGAAACAAGGTAACTTAACAAATGGTGACTAACGTCATTATGCAATGAAACCCGATGTGACATATTACTGAAGGCACACATTCTAAATGTGAAATCCTAGATGTGCCTGTGTGTCTGGAGAGTTAACACCACCCTACAATAACAACCTCTTCTTGCTAAACCCAGATATCGTATGAAATGTCAATATGACGCCCCGTGGCAATCACACAAAAACTGCTCACAAAGTTACAATTTAAAGGTAAAAAGCTGACAATTTGCACATTTTTTCTACAGCTCTATCCATCTAACAACGCAAAACACGCCTAACTGTTTGGAATATTTATGAAAAATTCACAAATCTGCAGCAAATAAATGCTTCTAAAAGCTTTTGTCACAAAGGGAGGATAGCCCGATTGATACGCAGACAACTCAGGAGACCAGTTTTGATCTGGATCATGTTTCACGGTGCTATATCTGTGTTTGCAGCAGTGACTGTGTGGGAAAGGTAAAACATGCTTTGTCCCTTGGAGGACGAATAAATATTTCTGCGAAGTTTTGACACATTTTATGTGTGGTTAAAACCATTTTATGGCGACAATGGCAGAGTGACAATTTAATAAGGCTTGGATGCTGAACCCACGAGGCCAAGGACTATGGGAATATGTCTAGTGTCAGAGGCTCTATAGCTCACCTGACAAGCTTCAGACACTCGACACTGCACCTGAACCTGTCTACTAATGTATGGAAAGTTTGAATTTTTAAAACATTTTTTTACATATCCTGGATTTGATCGGATCATGTGTAATTGTGTAAATGCATGACCCAAAAGTGTATCAAAATGATTGGGGGAGTCATGTATAGTAGCAGAGACCATATATCGGTACATGGTTTCTGATAGTAGCTTCCCTGATGGATTGTTCACACTACAATACG